AACCACCGTCGAGCACCGAGCCATCACTCATTTCAAACTCCGAGACAGTTCGTACCAAGTTCTTACTCGGCTGTACTCGTAAAATCCAGCCTCTATAGTATACGTGATTCTGAACGACTATCTTCAGAAAGTGACGACGCTCATCTTCATCCGCGCGACGGCGCTCATCTGGTGCATCGGCGTCTCACAAGTGTTTCACCCTCATCTACTATTTGAGACCCCTTACCTGGCCACCTAAGCATTCATCCCTCAATGTCAATCCGTCCGCTCACCCTACGCGCGCCCAACTGTGTCATAAGGAGTGCAGGCATCCTACACCGCCAAAGTGCCAGCATGTGTACACCACCTGGGATTTTCAGATTGAGGCCAGCAGTCGGGAAACCTGGCATCAGGTGACCGCCAGGTATATGCCAGCTGCACACGTCAGCTCAGATTTCAGCTTTCCACCAGCTGTGTAACCAGAGGGATGCCATGTTTTGCAGCCAGCCTTTGGCCAGCCTCCGAGCAGACCTCAGTTCTTTTAGAAAAAATCCGGATGATATTGCAACCAATGGCCGTACACTGCTTCACAAATTACTGACAACACATTCTCTTTGTTGTCCATCGCCCGCCTCGGTGTCACTGTAAGTAGAAGGCTGAGCCTACTGAAGCAGACTCCTTCGCAGTTTTCGCTGAGTCAAACTCATAGTCTGGGCCATTTTTGCAGGGAGTACACTGCCGACCACAGTTGGACGTGATACCTCGTGAGTCGACGGTGGTGGATGCGATTCAAGGGTCCGTGCGTTTGTTTGGCACGGCATCTATCATCACGTGCATGTTGATCGCCCCGCTCCCTTTTCTCTCACTTCGACTTGACTTCCACCATGATGCCTCCATCGACCCCTACGCGTACAGACACCACATCACTTCCGAACTCCTCAATCCAAAGGCCCCACCCACACTCGTATCCCAGTCCCAGCGAGGGAGACCTCCCGACTATTCCACTCGCATCGCTGGGGTAGGTCTACTTCTTATTCCGAGTCATCAACCAATCCTCAGATCAAATTCTGGGTCCTCAACCTCCTCCAAGCTCCAACTCCTCTCTGCATCGGATATGGACACCATCAAGCCGTGTCAAGCCAAATGGCCTCAAGCTCGGTCTTCAAAATCACATTGTTCTCGGATCCTGGAACCCCATTCCTCGGTATATCTCCCTACTCTCTGTATCCTCAAGCCCCAAGTTGCCACTGTTCAAGGCCTCAAAATCAAGCCAAACTGTTTCCGCCTTGGCGGCCTACGCTCGCTCAAACACTGCCCATGGACGACGACGGTGATTACCATGGCATGCTTGATACCATGATGCCTCTCCCGCCGAGAACATCTCGGCCGACTGGGCGAACATCATAGCCATCATTAAGATGTCCTCACCCAGAAGCGGCCGAAAATCAAGAGTCAAGATCAGCAACGACGATAAAGATCTTGCACCTCCCCCCAAGTGCCAGAGCATTCTCCAATTCACCCCAGCCATCATCAAACGGACCCCATGCCCCGTGAACGTAATTATATGCACTTTGATGGTGAGTCTTTTTTATCGCTGCGGTGTAGTCTCAAGATCTCTGTAGCGTATCCCATTAAGCTCTAGGATAAGTTAGGCGAACCCGTTGTAAAGATGCTCAAGGAATCCGCCAACAAGCTTATCAGGTACGTGTCAATGACCGAGCATTGACATCGTCTAATTATCTTTTTCCGGGCATTCCACTTCGTCTTCGCCGACGACCAGAATAGGCACGGCATCAAGGACTACAACGAGTTCTGACAAGGCATCGATGACCTCACGTCGGCTCAACGACACGTCGGCGGAAGGGGAGAATTGGGATGGGGTGGAGTAGATGGAAGTATTAGACATGATTGTACCCTTGCTTGACCAATATACATTGAATTTTATGATTCAAGTCATACGGGAAAAGAAATGGAATTAAATGCAGGCACCTTTCGACATATCTGACAGCGCAACTGCATTCCAGCCTTAACATTCAGCTGGCGGTCAGCCAGACCTGGTGCCATGCTGGCCCCATAGGCGAATGGTCCTGGAGTCCAGCCGCACCACAGCTGGCAGCCACCTACCAACTGCACCTTGCACACATGTCGCGTGCAGGTTGAGGCCAGGTGTCCGACCAATGGCGGTGTACGAAGAGTTCAGGACCACTCCCACCCAAATATCTAAAGATTTGCCATTACAGTGAATTTATTTCGGCCGGCAGTTCAACATGGCCAAATAACAGGCTAGTTGGCCACCCGGTCAAATCAAGTCGCGAGACTTGAATCCGGCGCCCGGATCCATCGGAAATATTAACTAGGGTACATAGTGACAATTTGAACACATAATACTCCATGTACAACCCATAGGAGGTGTGTAAATGACTGCTCCTCAGATGTGGGAAAGCCCCGAAACAAGGTCTCTGGAGCAATAGCACGTTTATTGGACGATGGAACCATACTGTGACTGAAATTAAGATCCACATAGCTTAGAAGGAAGGTCTATAACTTATTTACATCCCTAACCCTGTAGTCAAGTCTTCACAGCTCCCCAGAAAATTCCCGGTGTTGGCAACACCAAAATTGGGTGGGTGGCGGTAAAGCATTACAGTGAGAAGGGAGTTGGGCAGATAAAATTCCAGCGTACCGTCGGGGTTGAGCCATTGGACACTAAAAAGTATAATAGGCAATTCCGGAGTGGTAGCCCCACGGTGTCGTCTGATACAACGTCGGCCAAGGGGAGCGACTCAAAAAAATAGCGGCGCGTTCATGGGTGCATAGCAGGGAGGATTTTGACCTCTCGGTGGCGGGGACAGTGGGAGGTGATTCCCTCGAATCAGGGGAGCAAATAGAGCCTGCGAAGTCCCGGAACGGCCAAGAATTGGCGGAGAGCCAGTTGAAACAAGAAAACCAAGCCGCGACGGCGTAAGAAATTGATGTTCACACGTTGCGGGTCTTGATCCGAGATGTCGTAACTTTCGATCAACTCATCACTCCGGCTCCAAATTCGGTTCAGACCTTCGTTATAGATCGTACTCCCATCCCCCATTACCCCTGGGAGTGAACAACAAAATGTCGGCATGCTAGACTCCAAATGGCCAACTAGGTGGGGTGGCCAAGTAAGGGGTCTCAAATAGTAGGGCTCCAACCATTTCCATTTATGGATGTTTTAAACGGTGAATACCGTTCGTATTTCCGTTTATTTTATGGACTTGCATAAATGGTAAACGGATAATAATAAAAAACAATTTAAATGGTTGTGAAAATGAACCATCAGGAGACCGATTTTTTCGAGCATCTGCTATAATTATGGTGCACAACAAAACGGGTGAATGCTTGAACTGATCACAAGACGCTACCTCTCACGGTGGATACTCGATTGACGAGATATTTCCAGAACTGACTGCCCCCGGGCATCTCGGCGAAACTAAACTCTTGTGTTCAGGCCCTAAATAGCGTCCAGCATCGAAGTCGGAGACAGATATGAGACTCTGGAAACCGTCAAGTGTCCCAAGTACCGCAATGAATCCATCTAGATAGGTGTAAGAATGTTACCCAGGCCATACCATTTATAAACAGTTTAAATGGGTTTTAAACACATTTTCACCGTTTCTGTTTAGTTTGCGGACTTTCGCAAACGGAAATGATATGGTTGGAGCCTTACCGGCGGCGGCGGCGGTGCTCATCTTCATCCACGCGACGGCGCACATTTGATGCATCGGTGTCTCACCAGCGCCTCATTTTCATCTTGCGTGACAACGTAGGCTTGGATTTACGAGTAGGGCGCAGTACAAACTGCCTCGGAGTTTGAAGATAAAGATCCGAGATGAGATGAGCGTCGTCACGATAAGAGAACTGCGGTCGAGACCTTGGCATAAAGGCAGGCCATAGGCGCCCGGAGTGAAAATGGTAGAATACCAGATTGCAGCAGCCTTGCTCGGAAAGGTAAGGCGGGAAGAGAAGTAATGAAATATGCCAAATCATTAATAGGTGAAACTGGTGGGGCCAACAATATGCAGTCATTTTGGGGTCCCAGAACGTGATCAAAAAATGACTGCACGTCAGCGCGTGATCTGACCGCTTCACCTCGATCAAGGTCAAAGCGAGTTGTAACATGGGAGAACACTCTCAAAATGCAGTTTTGGAACTGCTCTCAGTTGGCGCCCCAAGTTTCAAAGCTTTTTAGCTTGAAGTGGATTCAATTGGCGGTGTTTCGCAGTATTATATAGGGTTCAACAGTTCTGAGTGGTTCTGCTCAACAAAAGCTCGTGAAAAAAGGATGGATGGCAGGATTGAGTCTATTTGGCAAAGATCCTCCCTCATGAACAAGGTGAAATCTCAGCGGGTGAGCTTGGGGGAATGAATCTCGCTCTGATCAACCTGCACGTGCGTGCGTGCGATGGTCACTTTTTCCTCAGGCCCGAACTAGGGTTGCGGAATAAACCGGGTTGTAAATTACAAAGAAACCGGGGGAAAAAACTACGAAGGAGCACCATGACCTAACCTGGATTCGAACCAGGGACTTCCGCAGGGATTCTCCCAAAGTCCCAACAAACTGGAGGCGGACGCGATACCCTTCGCCACCAGGTCTCCTTCGTACACAATTCAGCCTCATGTTGCGTGGTGGGCTTCTGTGCATTTAAGAAACCCTAATGGGGGCACCGAGGAATTCATTTAGCGTGGCACTTGGAGGATCCGCGTCGGCGGCTGCCAGTGAGCTCATTGACAGTTACGAAGGCCGAACTTCAAGACAAGTGACTCGGGAGCTTAGAAGAAAAACAATATTAATTGCTGATGTGACTACAAACCTACGACGCGGCTGTGTATTAGATGTGTATTAGATAGGCCAAGTTGTAATGAGTGGTAATTCTGCGAAATCCTCAAGCCTAGGACGAGCGGATTTAACCAAACAGGAGGGGGAAAATGATTGGAGGGCCATGACCAACGAAAGAGATCTAAGGAGTAAAATATTTCCGGAGCATGGATGACCTAACCCGGGTTCAAACCGGAGACTTCCGCTAAACGAGGTCTGGTCATTGATATAAGATGTGGACGCGATACCAGCTTCGCCATTAGATCATAATGAGGGGTGCTGCAGGATGGAGGAGTGCATGGACAATAGAACATATCGATAGTGTGAGAAACACGTCTGGGACTCATCGTAATAAGACAGAGAAAGACAAATGACTGTCAGGAGAGACCGAGTAGGATTGATTTGCAGCTTGATTCTCAGTTGGCTAATCATGACTTGCCACTGGCAGTAGATCTGGGCGCCAAGGACTGTAGACAGCAAAGCTTTTAGCACAACATAAATCACTGCCAGTGGCGGAATGTAAGCCGACCCACGATAGTTCCCGTTTGGGAAGGTCACGTGTTTGACGGCCATCACCCGGCACCTCCCTCGCCAAATTGGGTTTCTCGGTGGCTCGCCATTATTTGCCACAATGGACGCGCTTTTCACGCGTCAAACCGTTCCTCTGAGCACTAACATTACCCACAATTGCTTTACCCTCCATAATAGAGAGTTTGCGCAAAAGCCGCAAAAGCCGCACGCGGCTTTTTTGCATTGCGCAAAGCCGCACGGGGAAATCTCGCCTGTGAGCCCTGTAACAAATGTATATGAGCAGAATGTGTATACTTTTGCGCTGTACCGGCCGTCGGGCCTGCTGTCCGGTGAACCTGAACTGCCAACTCCGACGAAGTGAAGGTATGACTGTGGGTGACATCAGTCTCGCTTATGTTTTCTCGGATCACTGCCCTCAGGCTCGTCCTCATCTATCTCGGGGGACGAGGGCCACTGAGGGTCGCTGTGAATGCTGTCGTCGTCCGATGGATGGCTCCCTTCTATGCCCAGCCAAGGTGGGCTTTCATCGCGCGCGGGGGAAGCGTGTGCAGAATGTATTTCGGGAGTTTCATCGTTGTTCTTAGCCTGTAAACGCGTCGAGCACCGTGTTCGGGTCCGAGAGGGACTGGCTTTGGCACGTCTGTTGCCGCGAGTCATTGTAGAAACTGACACCTGAGGACTGAGTGGCTCGCTGGAGCGAAAATCAAAGCGGTACTGATGCGGTCACATGTTGATTTTTCCACGCTTGGACCACCAAGGTGTCAACATGACATTGCGTATTATTACAGACCAGTTTCCAACTCCAAAATACTAGTTTTGAATTGGTTTTAAAGGTAGTAATTTAAATCAACCCCGCGGCTTTGCGCAATGCAAAAAAGCCGCGTGCGGCTTTTGCGGCTTTTGCGCAAACTCTCTAATCCCCACCATGAACTTCACATTTGTACCGTCCGAGCCATTTGGCCCTTCTCTGCCCCTATCCGACGACAACAACCAGAAGAGGGACTTAAAGTGGTCGCAATACACCCCGGAGACAGCCTCTAGAAATAAGCAAGCGCCCTTGAAGCAGCGCACCATCGCTTCCGATATTCCTTTGGATCAATTGAATGTGTCCCCACAGCAGCTAAAACAGCTGAAAGAAATGCATCGGGGCCATGCCACCACGGATGACGGGGTCTTGCCCGTCGATCACCTCTACACTCTCAGCGACGATGACCAGCTCGCTGCCAGCGCGATCATGGCCCAGCAAGGGCTCGACGTCGATGCCCGTGAGGGCATTGATAACCGCTGGTCTCAACAGTGGAGTCGGCTTTCTACGAATTCCGTCAAGGCGACCAACAAGACAAGAAGAATCCTTTACCTTTGGTATGTCCTTGCTAGGCTCATTGCAAGTAGCATCGCTGAATTATCATGTTGCAGCCGCTGCGGGTACGATCATACTCAGTCTCACACGAAGGAACGGCATACTCCTGTTCCATTTACATCATGTCTCGCCCACGCGGAGATTACAATCGCCGACGACTCCCATAAAATCCTTCGAATTCGAGGGTACTTCCACCACAACGATGCGTGTAAACAAGCAGAATACACCCGAATTCCTCCGGTACCCGTCCACCCATCTGTTTTCGTTGTCGCACTCTCCCAGCTTCGCGATGGAGCCACTTTTGCCGACGTGAAGAAGAAGAACCGCGAGCTTTTTGTGGCAGGGGGCTACAAAGACTTTCCTGTTGATCTGTCGACCACCTCGCATCGTTGGCTCCCAGAGACGCGCGATTCGCGTTCTTTATACCGCCAGTTCCAGCGAATGAATGGCGGAACTCGACCGCCTGCTGTTCGCAACTCCGGCGCCTGGACCAACTGCGATCCCCCCAGAGCCCACCCCCGCTCCACGCGCCACTCAGGGGAAGCGGAAGGCAGACAAGCAGTTGTTACCGTTGTCTCCGGAGAAGAGGCAGTCGAAACGGCATGAATCTCACGCTCCTCATTAAATTATTTTGGGCCTTTATTTTCTACGAGTAAATAATATATCTGCTCTGTCTCCAGTAACATTTCTTTGCCACCCTGGCGCGTAAACGACACAAAAACGATAATAGAGCGCGAAGTGCCGTCGGTGGCCACCTGATGGCCGTCTGATGGCCGTCCACACGTGACCTTCCCAAAAGGGTAGTATCGTGGGTCGGCCTTCCTTCCGCCAGTGGCAGGATAAGGCAACCAGTAAAATGATAGATGTGCGGACTTGCAGGGATATATCGATACAGTAAAACGAAACGGACTTGCAGTTGCACTGATCAGGAACCACAAGCGGGCGCCGGAGAGAAGGGCGGGCTGACTAAGCACACTTGTCCGAGTCAGCAGCCCCATCAAAAGCGCGACAGCTAGGACGAAGACAAGAAACGAAGCAGACGGCGCGCAGCACAGGCCCGGGAGACGAAGAGCAACGATGAGCAAAGACTTAGCGAAGAGAAGGGGACGACATCAAGGTAAGAGGGAAGCCTGAGGAAAGGCGGTGCAAACTCATGCTTCGCCACTGTAGCCAGCCGATAACCCTCGGAGTCGCACCGTGGCACCCAGTACTGGTCCGACTGGAGCGAATCCAACGACGACGTGCTCAAGGCGGCGCGCCGCGGGCTCGTTCCGCGCGTCACGCGCCGCCTCGTCGACGCCGAGCGCCGCTTGACTGCCTCCGGCAGCGTCCTTGTGTTTGACGAGGACGCCGGCGGGATTAAGATGAGCGGGGTGCGGAAATCTCGAGAGTTTGAGCGGCTTGAGGAAGGAGGGCGCACAGCGCACGGTACTAGTAGAGAAGGTACGCTCGCCGTCCATATCAGCTATCCTTCCCATTCTTTACATAGGCCTTTCCGCGCTTTTATCCTTCATTTTATGAGTCTTCTTCAATACTCCACTTCCCCGCTCGTGCACAAATTGGAGCTTTGTTCCAGATCATACGTCCCTCGGGTGCCTCTTCCGCTGCTCGTTCACTCCCAGCGTCGGCACGCCACTCCCGCTCTCAGGCCTGGCTTGATTCCTCTCTTGCGCATGCGTCCTATCTCCTAGAGCCTCAAGCCCCTACTGGTCCTGCCGAGCCTCCACATCTGTTCTCATTCTGTTTTTCCGCGCCGCACTCGTATCGCTCCGGACATCCTCTCGCCACTAACATCCCTCTCCGTACTAACATCCCTCTCCGTATTAGAGTCTGAATACTCTTTGGTGCCCGTCCCCTGGCCCTCCCGCATTCTCAGCTGTCTCCTTTCCCCGGCGCCTCCCTCCTGCTCTCCCCTTCGTCGCCGCAAACCTCCCCGAGGGATGATATCGGTCTGTGATATCTTGCGAATAGATGGATCTATTTGTGCTTCTTTACGGGCGCTAACGCCCGCTCGCACTGCTGCAAGACGCTCAACGATAGCTAGGCCCAAAAAATCGCCCACGACCGTCATATGACCGAACCTGGATTCGAACCAAGAGATCCCACAAGATCTCCACCTCCAACCACACTATGATGGTGGGGAGATCTGTGCCCACTGCCCATCTATTTCCGAACTGACCGCTCCCCAGACTGGCAAGCCGCACCCTTCACCGACATTAGCACACTCCGCGTGCTCTCCTCGCTGCGGCTCCCTCTGTGGCTGTCGGCCAGCTGCAACCCGCTCCCGTGGGCGGCCGCCCTCATCAATACGTCACGCTCGACGAGCATTCAGCGCATCATACTTGACCTACGGGTCTACGGCTTTGATCTTGCCGTGCTCGCTCTCCCATGGGCAGCCCTCGACGCCGAGCTGGTCAGCCCCCTGGGGACGCGCTCCATCGTACTCACCTGCTTCGCATCCACGCAGCGGTCCACCGGAGACTGGCTGAAGGGCGAGCTTCCAGGTCTCCTCCCGCGCGCGCACGCGTGCAAGGCGTTCCAATCGTGTGAGATCGGCGCATTTTTTGTTTCGGGCTGTGGGACGTGTATTCACGTCATCTCCCAGACTTCAGCCCGACGCATTTCTTCTATTGGCCGGGCCCTCTTAGCTGGGGCAGTTCTTTGGGCGTCGAAGAACAGGATTGAACAAGGATACACGAAAAAAAATACACAGTTCGTCCGATGGTCGATTAGGCGATACAGGTAAGCTACTGTCCGTTGCATCCAATACAATCATAACTGTGTCGTAGATCATTCAAAGCTCTTGCAATTGCTCGCTTTAAGCGCCAGTGATCGTGAAATAGGGGCTAAAGTTTCCGGAATCACCAAACACTTTCGGCGGCGTCAGCGCAGATAGTAGAAATCAGAAAAGATGTTTACGCACAGACGACCTGGTAATCATCACCGTCCTCGACCCACGGCACCTTGACCTCGATCCGGCCCAACAAGATTGAGAAGTTCTCTTGCAGGATGACTAGACCAGAAGCGTTAGTGCGCTGAGCTTCAGATGCGAGGTAGAGAGAGCGCACCTGGGGTAGTGAGGTCGCCTTTGCGTAGCATGATCCGCCCGATTTTGTTCGTGATGTTGACTGGGGGGTTGGTGTTGTCCCTGGTGCAGACGGTCAGCGGGAGCGGCGGCTAGGCGGCAGAGCACTCGCCAGGTAACGTTGTGCTTTTGGCCGACGGTCCACACCGTGCCGGCATGCGGGTAAGTCACGGGCGGCGTGTAGACGTCGCGCTTCGAGAGCGTGAGGGGCGTGGCGGCGGCGAGTGCCGCGGCGGACATGAGTGCGAGGACGTTGGAGAATGCGAACTTCATAGCAGTCGTGGAAGGAG